AAAGAAATGTTTAGCATATGGCATATTTAAGAAGACCATATACATTTACATAAATATATTTTTATTGGAAGAAAAAGACCTGTTGTCTCCTAGGTGCTAGACTCCCTCACCTTGTTCTTACTAGAAAACTTTTTGGTTATTTGATTTGCGAATTTGGGCTATAAACCCATGTGAGGACCAGTTTAGTTTATGACTGCAAAATCTGACATGAGGCCTATTCTCTGTACATCAGGATCAGGAATATTTTTCTTTAATTTTTTTTTTTCCTTATTGTCAGAATGAGTAGGATGATGGGTGGTGGCAGAGGTAGTGATTTGGATTTCTACGGCAGGGGTCAGGAAACTGTAGCCCATAGGCCAAACCTGGCTCTGTTCCTGTTTTTGTAAAGCTTTATTGGAACACGGTCACACTTATTCCTTTACATATTGTCTATGGCTGCTTTTAACTGTAATGACAGTTGAGTGGTTGCAGCTGAGACCGCATGACCTGCAAAGGCTAAAATATTTAGAAAGTTTGCCACCCCCTGTTGTAGATCACCTACTTCTAGAGTACTCATTCATGTGAACCCTATGTTTTAAGAGCCTTTGCTGTCTGATATGATAGTCACTAGCCACGTGTAGCTATTTCATTTTTAAATTAATAAAATAAGAAACTCAAGTCATTTGTGTTAGCGACATTTAAGCCCTCAGTAGCTACATGTGGCTGGTAGTGACCAGATGAGACACGCAGGTATGCTCCATGTCCATCATCCACAAATGCTCTGCCACAGCCCCGATTGAGCCACTTGGTTTCTCTGCTGTCTCATTCATTGATAATCCCTGCTGATATGCCTGTTTCTTCTGAATTTTCTTTTTTCCTCTCTTTGTAATTTCTTTCTATCCTCTAAAAACTAAGTTTGAATCCCAGTTTATTTAAATATTAAATATATTAATCACCATTTTGTGTTTCTTTAGTTCATCAGGAAGATTATAAGATACTTAAAGGCGGGGACTGTATTCTCTCTTGCTTTGTAGTGCCTGGCACATAATAATCTTTGTCACTGTTGTTGTTTTAATAGTACTATATCTCCCTAAATAATGTAAAATTATTTCATTTTTTCCTCCGTAGGTATAACAAACTGTAAACTAAAAAAAAAAAAAAAATCAAAAGCAAAGATGGGTGAAAAGAAACCAGAGCCTTTGGACTTCGTGAAAGATTTCCAGGAATACCTGACTCAGCAGACCCATCATGTCAACATGATTTCTGGATCAGTTAGTGGGGACAAAGAAGCAGAGGCTCTTAACAAACTGTCTAAAAAAAAAAAAAAATCAAAAGCAAAGATGGGTGAAAAGAAACCAGAGCCTTTGGCCTTCGTGAAAGATTTCCAGGAATACCTGACTCAGCAGACCCATCATGTCAACATGATTTCTGGATCAGTTAGTGGGGACAAAGAAGCAGAGGCTCTTCAGGGAGGTAGACTTACCTTAATACTATTAAATAATTGACTTTTTATAAATATATTAGTGTTTGTGTGTCATTACCCGTAGTATGAAGCCCACTACTGTTCACTAATGTGAATCATTCCGTTTTTCCTAGAAAGATATGGGCAATTTTTTTTCCCTTCTTTAAACATGTCAGGTTTTTGCTGAGGGAAAGTAAAGCTCCAGCAGGGCTTACCGTGGCCCAGAGATGCATTATGGTCTTGTGGGAAGGTTAGGGGTTCTAAATTCCCTTCCCATTCTCCCGGTTCTGTTATCTAACAGCAGACACAAGGAACCAAAAGGGGGTCCAGCTTCATTACACAAGGGGTTTGGCCATTAGGAAATCTGGGTTAGACCTGAGACAAAATAGGGGTTTCTGTTTCTTCTCTTAAAATGAAGAGAAGGCCAACCATGTATACCCACCTAGGAGGAGAAATCAGAGTAGAGACAGCAGTGACCTACTTGAGCCCATTCTACCTGACCTCCAGATAGACTGTCTGGTTTGCTTACTACACGAAGGCTGGAATCTGTGTGTGAACTTAGCTCAGGAGGCAGCAAACTACAGGCAGTGGGCCCCATCTGGACTGCTGTTTTTACATGACCTGCAAGCTAAGAGTGGTTTCTACATTTTTAAATGGTTGGAGTGTGGGGGAAACAAAAGAAAAATAATGTCATGATGTGAAAATTATATGAAATTCCAACTTTAGCATCCATAAATAAAGTCTTAACTGAAACATTGCCATGCTTGCTTGTTTACCTGTTTTTTATAGCTGTTTTTGAGTTACAACAGCAGAGTTGAGTAGCTGGGATAGAGACCATGTGGCCCACAAAGCCTAAAGTATTTGCTGTCTGACCTTTATAGGAAAAATTTGCTAACCCTTGACCTAGGTGGTCTAGGGCCTTGTGATCCAGGGACCAGCAACAGCAGAGACCGGGCATCACCTGGGAGCTTGTGAGAGGTGCAAAACGTCAGGTGCCACCCCAAATCTCCTGAATCAGAAGCTGTATTTTAATATGATCCCCAAGTGATTTCGTATACATATTCTGTTTTCGGGAGTTACTGGCTTGGGAAAGCAATGGGAGAAGTGGGGACACTGAGCCTTGCTGTCCGTCCAGTGCAACGGGCCTGTTGGATGTTGGACTTGCACCAACTAGCAAAGTCACTTCTCTTCTCCTAGTGAAGCATAGAGGAAACAGCAAAGGGCTTGAATTGTCTGCACCTGCACTGCTACCTCCTGCAGATGGAGTAGAAGTGCTTTTCCCGTGAAGCTGTAGGAACAAACATTTCCCTCTTAATACTTTAGTGTACAATTCTTGGACTGAGATCCAAGAGAGCCGGGTTGTGGTCCCCCGTCTGTTGGTTTTCCAGATCATGAGCACTTTGCCCCTTCAGTTTCTTTATCTATACAAAGAAGTAGTTTGATTAGGTTAAAAGCAAACAGCCAAACATCTCTTAGCTCTGAAATTCTTACAGGTCATAACATTCAGAGGTATCAGATACAGTATTTCCCTATATGTGCGTAATTAGAATTTTAAGATCCTAAATGCAGCCCAGAATCTAGAACATATGTGTAAGCTGAGTGGAACTGCAAAACTCAACATTAACTGTTGTAGATCAAATAGATTAGGATTTTGGAGATGATCATGACGGCCCATTGTATTTGTAGAAGTGGCTAGAACCTTAAACGTGTGTAACTGCCATCACTGTTTACCCGCCTCTGTCTCCTTATCTGTCAGATAAATACCATACCTTGTTACCATACTCAAAAGTATGTTGAGGACTGATATAATTTATGTGTTAGTAATTTGAAATCCCCCAGTAGAATACTGCTTTTGTATAAAGTTAAACTCAGTTCAGAAAGACTGTGAATTTAACTTTTGTGCTAAGCAAACTGTCAATTTATGAAAGATTTTCTACCACTCAACACTAAATTGCTAAATTGAGTTGATTCTGAGATGCATAATTTCTTTTGCTATATTTGTTTATAGCTGGAACAGATGGTGATCAAAATGGACTTGATCACCCATCTGTTGAAGTTTCCCTGGATGAAAACTCAGGAATGTTAGTAGACGGGTTTGAAAGGACCTTTGATGGGAAGCTCAAGTGTCGGTACTGCAACTATGCCAGCAAAGGCACCGCACGGCTCATTGAACACATTAGAATCCACACAGGTAACGGAGAAGTGGCTGGAGAGGGCATTTCTTTACGGGCAGGTTGATCTATCATATAAATAGTTGTGATAGTTTGAAAATGAAGGTGGATGTAAGGTTTGAATAAATGGAGAAGTGACTCCATTTTTACACAGCAGTAGCGTGCAGCATACAAGGAAATGAGGCCCCTTGTACAGCTTCCCCTTCCTTAGCCATCTTCCTTCTTAATCTAAATAATCTCAGCATCTGTCTGCTTCTCAGGTTGGGCAGGTTAATGCTGAAGACAGCATGAAGTGATAAAATGTTTTTATCTTTATCCTTACTAAGTACGTTTCCTTTGCAGACCACGGAAAAGGTTTCTGTACGGTTGCAGGCTACACTGCTAACCCTCAGATGTCACCTTAGCCATCCCTTCTGTGAAAGGGATTCATTCCACTAGTCCGTATAGTATAAAGGTTGTTATATGCAGGTTTATTAATAAATTTTAATAATTTTTTTGCAAATGTGTTATTCTGAAAAGCATTTTATTTTTTGATCAATTTCTAAATCTAATGAATGGACAAAATATGAAACTTTCATAAATGAGCTACTCTTGCAGTTTCTCCCCCATTTTTCTTTTTAAACAGGTGAGAAACCTCATAGATGTCACTTATGTCCATTTGCATCTGCTTATGAGCGTCATCTGGAAGCCCATATGCGTTCCCATACAGGAGAAAAACCATATAAATGTGAATTGTGTTCCTTCCGCTGCAGTGATCGAAGTAACCTGTCCCATCATCGAAGGCGCAAGCATAAAATGGTACCAATTAAAGGTACTAGGTCTTCCTTAAGCAGCAAGAAGATGTGGGGGGTTTTACAGAAGAAAACAAGCAATCTGGGCTATAGCAGACGAGCACTAATCAACTTAAGCCCACCTTCCATGGTGGTTCAGAAGCCAGACTACCTTAATGACTTTACCCATGAAATCCCGAATATCCAGACTGACTCCTATGAAAGTATGGCAAAAACCACACCAGCTGGTGGCCTGCCAAGGGACCCCCAAGAACTCATGGTTGACAACCCTTTAAACCAGCTGTCAACTCTAGCAGGACAGTTGTCCAGTTTGCCACCTGAAAACCAAAACCCTGCATCCCCTGATGTAGTTCCCTGCCCTGATGAGAAGCCTTTCATGATGCAGCAGCCCTCTGCTCAAGCAGTAGTTTCTGCCGTGTCAGCCAGTATTCCTCAGAGCTCCTCTCCCACTAGCCCTGAAGCTCGGCCATCACATAGTCAGAGGAACTATAGTCCGGTGGCAGGTCCGAGCAGTGAACCAAGTGCTCACACGAGTACTCCCAGCATGGGAAACAGTCAGCCAAGCACTCCAGCTCCGACCCTGCCGGTCCAGGACCCTCAGCTTCTACACCACTGCCAGCACTGTGACATGTACTTTGCCGACAATATCCTTTACACTATTCATATGGGATGTCATGGGTATGAAAATCCTTTTCAGTGTAACATATGTGGATGCAAATGTAAAAACAAGTATGATTTTGCCTGTCATTTTGCAAGAGGGCAACATAACCAACACTGATGGGAAACAATCACGTTATGCTTTACTTGGTTTGCCTTTTTGTGTTTTGTAGTTTACTGTTGTTTTCTGCAGGGGAGGGGTGGGGGGGTGTCATCCCTATTAAGGTGTTGCTAATTTAAAGTCTTATACATACAGAGTATAAATTTGACAGTGGAAACAAAATTTTTTTCTTTTTCTTCCGTAAAAACCTCATCGGGGTCATTTATGTATTAGAACAGTCGGACACGTTGGTGTCTGTTTTTTCCTTTCATTTAGACATTTGAGAATTGGAGTGCAATGATAATCTTACAAGTGGTCATTTAAATTTCTCACATTTATGGTCCATAAAAACTTCAGGCTGATAGATACCCTTGATTTCAACATCTACACTGCAGCTGGATGTTATTTCTGCCATAATTTCAAAATGGTAAATTACTTTCTTACAAAACCTGTTACAATTTATTTCAATGTTTAGAGGAGGAATTGCCTTTAAAATTGCCATTAATTAAAAACTATTTAGTTAACATAGCTTAGTTGAATCAGTTGTTTAATTTCAACTGATAATAGTAAAGCAATTTCAGTGTAGTGAATCTTTCTTTTTTCCATAAGGGACAATATAAAACATTTAATTCTTTTAAAATTCAAGTTATAAAAAATGAGGTAAAAGTTCTGAAAAGAAATGAAACTTAAGACTTTAAATTGAAAATGGAGTTTAATATTTAAAATACCTGCCTATTCAACTTGTAGTTTAAACACACAGCGATTTTCCATTGGATTCTTTTTATTATACTTGTAGTTTATTTTAAAAACTACAGGTAAATACATGAGAACGCTGGAAATATCAGGATTATCTATGAAGATGCCTTTTTTCCTTTTAATCTGAACTGTTCATTTAAATCTTCATCCTGATGTTACACGTGAGGTTGATAACGATACTGAGAATCTGTTATTCCTTCTATTCCTTTGATGACCAAAGAGGTACAGTGGAAGTCATCCATCTTATTCCTAGGAAATGCGGTCCTTCCCCCCAAAATCTGAAGTTTCCTTTTCCTGCCTTCTATCCTTTTATTGCCCATAATTTTCAAGAAAAGGTAGGTATAGAAACACATGGGAAAATGTGATGGTGAAGTGATATTTACAAAAATGAGAACATGTGTCCAAAACGGATTCTGGACTCCTCTTCAGAATTCGCCATTTAAGATATTTTCTGTGGATTCAAGTTGTAATGCTTATTTGCAATTTTACCAGTCTTTAATGTACAGCAAGAAAACTATATAAAACTGTGAATTGAATCATCATTAGTAGAAGAGGATAAAAAAAAAGTGTGGAAATAGATATAAAAATGCATTTAAACATGATACTTAATTTGTTTACAAAAATAAAACTTGCTATATAAATCCACAGTAATTAATTTTGATTAGGAGGCTGTTTTTGTGTAATAACTAGCATACTCTGAGGACAGCTTGGTCAAACAATAAAATAATATTGTTACTAACTGTTGGTTTCTGTGTACTTTGCAAAATTTGTATTTTTAATTTGGTTCAAATCTTGAAAGTTACTAATTGGCTTCTTAAGCAAGTATTCTAACTATTAAGCATTATAACTAAGAAGGACTTCTACACTTAATAGTAAGTGAAAGGGTAATGTTGATGGTATAAGTCCACAAAAACCCCCCAGTGCCAAGTTAATGCATCTTCTGCCCTCCCTTCCAAATGCTAGAAAGCCATTAAAACGAGTTCTGTGGTTTAATATCCAATCTAAACGAATCTCCATTGCATTGCTGAAAAAGCAGCATCAAGGAGTTTCTGCAAACAAATCTTGTCAGTCTGAGGCTTTTGAATCTAAGGTCTGCAGCCTGTTCTGCTCTGTTGCTTGGAGCGCTCGCTGCTCAGATCACTTTTAGTGCAGCCATTTCCAAATGTGTAACTTGGCCCTCATATGTATATATTGTCAGAAACAAGTTGCTGTCATTTGGAAGCTTTTGTGGTTATTTTTTTCTTCTATTTTATTCTTCATATAAAAGCAATACCACAAAATAGAAAATGAAAGTTTTCATTAAACAAAAAAGAACTCTCATGTTAAAACCAGTTTATTAACTGTATATTCTGGGCCAAATAGTGACAAATACATTTTTTTCTGACAACTAAAGAGAGATGTTTTGAAAGTACATTTTAGTTCAAACAGATTTTTTTTCACAATTGCAAACTAGAATGTATAATTTTAAAATTCCTAGGACCTAAAGAGCACAGTTGTATTCCAAAGGTATCGATGCTTGAAAGCTGTAGTTAATTCTAAATGCACTAAAGTTTTTGAAGCAGATCTACCTTAGAAACTTTTTTAGTATTGTATTTTTAAAAATATTTAGGATTTTATTTAAATTTTTTGTGAGTTAAATTCTGTATTGGAAAGATGTTAGTATCTTCTATTAAGTATTGAATATGTTTCTCCCATTTTATTTTTAATCAAATATTTTATAGAAATGAGTTCAGAAAAATTTAACATGCACTATTTATAATACTTTGCTGTTAACAGGCAATGTTCTGAAACTAAATTTATTTTTGTTCAGTGAACATAAGTTTAGATTTTTAAAGTTGGTAGATACTTTATCTCCACTAATATTTTTTTAAGGAACTGTGAAGAGATTAACAGGGAGTAATTTTATTTCAGATTTTATGAATATAGTATGTAGCTACAACTTCTTGAAATTCAAGTAAAGGCTAGACTTACTTTGAAAAAATTTCACTGGATCTTTTCCAGTGCTATTTCATTTTAGAAATAAGTGTTTGCCATTCATCTGCAGAACTGTTTGACAAAGGGAATATTACTAAAAAATGTTCAGAGATAAACCTCATTTAAGTTCTACAAAAATATTTATCAAATGGATGTATTATTTTTTAAAAAATTCCCTGCTAAGGACTTTTCATTAAGTAGTCTTAGAGGGTATATGGTTTCTAGAACTTGGTTTTGTTAATATGTATACTTTGATGTCAAGAACGTATTTTGTATGTAAAACGTAAAACTTGAGTATGGTTGCAAAACACACTATTGTTTAGGGATTCCAGAAAGCAGTTTAATGCTGAAATAACTCTATCTAGTATGTAGTTCATATTGTGAATGAAGCTTTGCTTTTGTAATATATGAATAAAAAATAACACTTTCTAATGATCTCGATTTTTCTTTTTTGAAAACTAGGACCCAATTAGTTTTTAAAATAATTTTCCAGTGTGTAAAATGTTAATTTTTTTTGATTTTATGGCTACCTTGGTTTGGATTTGTAGAGTGCCTTACCCATGAGAAGGTGTTGCATGAGTTAAAAGCAAAAACAGTTCAATAATGAGCATCTTGTCTCCTTCCTAATTTCTTCTCTTTATTTAAGGTGTGACCCCTGCCCCCGCCCAACTGTTCTGGCACATAAATGAGGAAGGCTTCGTGCTTCCTGATGCTTAATTATGTGATGCTTAATTATCCATGTCACATCTGACAAGTGACTGACTGACTGAGGTAGTTGCTGTTATGACAAATGGATCTCTTAGAATGGACTGATTTCCCCCCCCCCTTTGGCAGTTCACATCATTGGCCTAGAAAACATCCAGTAATACAGAATTGTTTAAATTAGTTTGCAAAATCGTAACCAAAATGGCTTTGATTGGAAATCAAGTTTTAATGCTGCTTTGAAAAATACTTCCGTACAATGTTATCTTTCTCATAATGAAAAAAAGAAATAACATCTGATAAGTCCATGGTTCGTTGAAAGCACAGGTATTTTTTGTTTCCTTGTCTTAGGTCTTCCAAAAACTCTGCTTTGAGCTTGTTAAGTTCTTCGGCTAGAAGTTTCAAGTTGTACGGAAACACCTGTTCACCTAAAATAAAGATATTCTCAAATTATTTGTGTAAATTAAATCAAGCTGGACTGATGACAGCCGGAAATTGATTACTTCAGACAAACTATTCAGATTCTTCTATAAATCATAATTGAGTTGGTGTAATATATAGACAGAGGTCACATTAATGTGATACAGGCAGATCATTTAAATAACTTGCTATGACATGCGCGAGCAGAAAAGACAAACCTGAAAGGGACTTTTTGTTGACAAAATAAGTTGACTTAGTCTTATTGAATGAACAGGTAGTAAGGCAAAAAAGCAGAGCTAGAAAATGACAATTTGGCTTTGAAGCTCTGATGGACAATACCTAGAACAGTTGTCCAATATAATTTTCTACAATGATGGAAGTATTCTATATCTGCCCTATTCAGTCCAGCAGCCACTAGCCATGTGGGTAGTGTGACTGAGAACTGATTTTTTTGTTGAACAGCTTTACAGAGATACGTCACATAACATACAGTTTACCCATCTACACTACAATTTAGTGGTTTTAGTATATTCACAGATATAAGCAACTATCACCACAGTCAATCTTTGAACATTTTACCTGTACTCTTAGGTATCACCCTCTTAACTCCATTCCCCCTCTCTCTGCCCTCAATCCCTAAGCAACTGTTAATCTACTTGGGGTCTCTAGATTTCCCCATTGTGGACATTTCACATGACTGGACTCGTGTGGCCTTTTGTGACTGGCTTCTTGCACTTTGCATAATGTTTTTAAGGTTCACCCCTGCTGTAGTACCTCATTCCTTTTTATGGCTGAATAATCCACTGTACGGACAGACCACATTTTGTCTGTCAGCCGATGGACATTTGGGTTGCTTTTACCTTTTGGCTAGTAGGAGTAATGCTGCTATAAGCACTTGTGTACAAATTTTTATAGGAACATATGTTTTCATTTCTGGGTCCCGTGGTAATTACATTTAATTGTCTGAGGAACCGCTAGGCTGTTTTCCAAAGCAGCTGCACCACTTTACATTCCCAGCAATGGTGTATGTGGGTTCTGAGTTCTCCACATCCTACCTCTTGGACTTTGGGATTCTAGCTGTCCTAGTGCGTGTGCAGTGGTGTCTCATTGTGGTTTTGATTAGCATTTCCCTGATGACTAATGATGTTTTCATGTGGTTACTGGTCATTTGTATATCTTCCCTGAAGAAATTTCAGATTCTTTGTCCATTTAAAAAATTGGGCTATTTTTATTATTGAGTTGTGAGAGTCCTTTATGTATTTTGGATATAAGTCCCTTATGAGACGTGACTTGCAAATATTTTCTCCCATTCTGTGGGTTGTCCCTTCACTTTCTTGATGGAAGGAGAACTGAATTTTTTTTCCTTTTTTTTGCGATACGCGAGCCTCTCACTGTTGTGGCCTCTCCCCTTGCGGAGCACAGGCCCCGGACGCGCAGGCTCAGCGGCCATGGCTCATGGGCCCAGCTGCTCCGCGGCATGTGGGATCTTCCCGGACCGGGGCACGAACCTGTGTCCCCTGCATCGGCAGGCAGACTCTCAACCACTGCGCCACCAGGGAAGCCCAGGAGAACTGAATTTTTAAATTTTATTTAAGCACAGTTCTAGAAGCTAGTACCACCTCCTTCACACACACACACACAAAATTAATGGGTAGGAAAAGAGTCAAGAGTAATTTGGGCATAACCCTATTCCCCCTTCCCTTCATTTTATGGACAGGCAAATAGTTGAAAGAACTCCTACAACTATTTTTGTTTTCATTCTGATCTGATGCCATTTTTGTTCCAGCTCTCTTTTTAAAACTTTGGATTACAACGCATAAATGGGTTGCAAGTTGCAACCAGTGTTTTTCTAAGGTGGAATCAAATAGAACACAGTTCATTAAACATGTGAAGGTTTTGTGAAACTTGTTTCTATGCAGGAGTGTGTCTGTGTATTGGGCTACACACTAGGTTACAGTATTAAAACCTGCTTACGGATCATGGTTCAAAAAAGTCTGAAAAACGATATGGTTAGTATATTGTTTCTTTTTCCAATGTTCTAAGTTTTTGTAAAGGTATTAATAATAAATGTTGGTGATGTGAGGGAACATGACAGAAAGCACCAACTAGAATCAGATTTAGCTCAGCATCAGGTTGCCCAGGTACAGTATTTAGCAGGTGTTAAGTTCAGCCTTGAGCAAGTCACTTATCCTCTCAGACCTTCCATTTCCCCATTTGTAAAATTTCACTTACCTGATAGGATTCTAAAGACTAGAAACAATATTTATAAGGCCCTTAGCATATAAAAGGAGTTCAAGAAATGTTAAGCTGCTGTTATTTTTTAAATCAAATTTTAAATAGAGCAAAGAGCTCAATATTTAAAACCTGAAGGAGGGCTTCCCTGGTGGCGCAGTGGTTGAGAGTCCGCCTGCCGATGCAGGAGACATGGGTTCGTGCCCCGGTCTGGGAAGATCCCACATGCCGCGGAGCGGCTGGGCCCGTGAGCCATGGCCACTGAGCCTGCGCGTCCGGAGCCTGTGCTCTGCAACGGGAGAGGCCACAACAGTGAGAGGCCCGCGTACCGCAAAAAAAAAAAAAAAAAACCTAAAGGAATTATTTTATAAAACTATAATTGTCACATATTTCATCTAAGTTCAGACTGACAATGCACTAAGACTGTTCAAACTCCATGCTGATTTTACACCTGGCCCCTGACTACCTCTCCCCATCCCTTAACTTCACCCCAGACTCAATGGCTTCTTTTCTGTTCTAGAACGTACCAACTTTACCTGTGGACTTTTGCACTTGATGTGTCCACTGCCTAAAATGATCCTGCAGGCATCAGCATGGCTTGCTGTTTCCTTTCATTCACATCTTTGCTTCAATGCCATTTCCTCTGAGAAGCTTTCCTGATTACCCTTTTAAAAATAAATCCTCCCATCACTACCTTGCCTTACCCTACTTTCCTTTCCTTCAGAGCACCGGCATATATTCATGTATTTATTTTTTGTCTGTCTCCTCACTATGATGTTCTGCTCCCTCTCAACTCCCCGGTATCCAAAATAAAGCCTAGTACAGAGTAGCCACTCAATAAAAACCTACTGGATGGATGAATGCCTGGTTCCAGAGGTAGAAGTTTTAGCTTAATATAACCAAGTTGCCTATTTAAACTGAAAACATGATGTAAACTTTATGAATGAAAGCAAATAAACTACCCACGTCCACGGAACAAGAGTAGCAGGAAAGAATAGTCTCAACTAAATAGAATCTTAACCACTCAACACACCTTTTGCTTCCTTCATTGTCTGAGAGACAATTCTTCGGAGAGTCTGATCAGCTTGATGAAGAATGTTAGTTGAACAAATAATTCTGTCTGTTTCCTAGGTAATAGACATTGTTATTGGAACAGTTATCTAGTTTTACAAAAGAAAGAAGTAAAGTTTAGGGGATGCATAGGTGAAGAGATACAGAAAAGGAAACGTGACTTTTCTGTTCCAGTTACTCTTCCCTAGGAGAGGGTCTAAACGAAATAAACCCAGTTGTAAACTGGGTTCCACGTAGGCAGTATGCTGGTAAATGTCTAAGAATGGGCTCTCAAAGAGAAAAACACAAACCTATCCATAGTATTTTGTCTATTTCTACGGTGTAAATATTCCCATCCATGCCCACTTCGAGCTACCAACATGTCAACAGGCTCCAACGTTTCTGAAAATTTAACAGTCGTCTTTGACCAGGCAGTGCGAGCTCCCTCCAGAGTACCACTGCATCCAGGTGTCAGGAGCTGAATGCTGGTAAGATGCCAAGGCAGGGACAAAGTGTCTCTCACGTGTTACTCATATTTTACACTCAGATCAGAAAGATCTTCCTAGAAAAAGTTCCTTCTCATTTATACCAGATCTAAACCGGAACACTTACCTTTTGTTCCACATCCTCCTCCACGTATTTTACTGGATTTTCCAAAGCAGTAAGCAGTAAATCAGTCAATTTCAGTCTATAAGAGAAGGTAGGATAAAATAAATCCTTATATCAAACACCTGTTTTAAAAGAACTTGTGTTTATGGGTACTAAGCTGAATCTAGAGGAATGAAAGCGGTATATCCAAACTCCTGAACAAAAGGGGAAAAGCTAAGTGATTTGGGAGCTACCTTCTACTTGCAAAATTAAAATGTAGACGCTCAAAACAAGTGATAAGCCCCCCAAATCCCCTCATGTAAAAAATATTAATTTCCTAAGACTCCTATCAATAAGGTTTTAAAAGACATTCTCTCTTTTCCTTCATTAACTGCTGAACTTTAGGCTCCTAGAACTTTATGTTCCCTAAAGGAGGAGGCTTAGTGTTTATTTTCTGGCTTCTGCTCATTTACTGGGTGTGAATTTGCAAGGTTCCCCACAGGACAAGAGGTCATCGAGGGTTGCAGTAGAATTCATTTATTCATTTAACAAATATTTATTGAGCATCTTCATATATGAAAAATGTTGTACAACTATGTATGTGAAACTATGTGCTAAGCTGGGGGTGTAGCAAGATCCCTACCCTCTCTAAGCCTGATAACATAATGGAGAGAGACAGAGAATAAATAAATTAGCAAAAAATAATAGTTTCAGACAGTGACAAGTGGATAAGTGAGTGAAGATAATGAACAAAGTGATCATAAGAGAGTGACTGGCTAGCCTACTTAACACCCTTCCCGCTGGGTAGGATGGTCAGGGAAGCCAGTGAAGCTTACATACGTGGGAAGGGTAGAGGGGACGGCAAGCGCTATGGCCCCGAGACAAGAACAAGCTTCTCGTGTTCCTGGGACAGAAAAGGCCAGTTTGGTTGAAAAGGAGCAAGGGGAGAGTCGTGGGACATGAAGCTGGGGAGTTAATCAGGATTAGAGCTGGGGGGCAGGGAGGATAAATTGGGAGGTTGGAATTGACACATACACACTACCATATATAAAATAGGTAACTAACAAGAACCTACTATAGAGCACAGGGAACTCTACTCAATACTCTGTAATGGCCCATATTGGAAAAGAATCTAAAAGAGTGGATAATATATATTATTAAGTGAGTCAGGTATAACTGACTCACTTTGCTGTCACCTGAAACTAACACAACATTGTATAGCAACTCTACTCCAATAAAAATTAAAAACAAAGAAATTTAGGGATCAGATTTAAAATTCCAACAAAAGGAAAAGAAAAGAAAGTACTGGATGTCATGTCTCTGAGAATATAAATTATGAAGTCTGTCACTCAAACATCATGTACACGACAGGCAGATTTTCGTCTGATGAGATTTTTAATTATGCGAAGTGAAAACTTTTAATGCAATCATGAGAGAGTTACATGTCAAAGTAAAGCTCTAATTTAAGTTTTCCAGAATAGTCTCATCTTAAAAAGATTCTTTTCCCTCCAGCATTCCACTCTTTGTTTTTGCTGACCTAAACTTTTCCCCCTATGAGTCACCCAACTAGAAAAACAGAACATCTTCCTTGAATGGACATATTTTTAGTAAAAGAATAGAACGTTAAAAAAAAAAAAATCAGGGTTAGAGTGTGCAAGTTATGGTAAGGAGTTTAAATTTTACTCAGATGCAAGGAGTAGCACTGAAGAAACGTAAGCCAGTGAAGTCACTGAATTAAACCTTCACCTCAACGTGATCTTTCTCACAAAGAAAAGAGCCCAGGTTCTGGAATGAGTGAGACTGCAATGGGTCCAAATCTTGGCTCTGCCATTTACTATCTGGATATGTTACCTTACTTACCTGGGCCTCAGTTGTCCCATCATGAAAGGGGGATAATTGTATCTGCCCTCAAAGGGTTGTTGTGAATGACTGAATCAGATTATATGTATAAAGTGTCCAGAACTTGCCCAGGGCATAGTATCTGCTCGACAGCTGTTGCTGCTAATAGTAGTACTAGGAGTAGCATTAGCAGTGGTAATAGTAGTGGTAGTGGTAACAGTAATAGTAGTGGTAATAGCAGTAGTGGTGATAGTAGTATAGTAATAGTAACAGCAGCAGCAGTAGTTGTATTTCACAGAAGCGTGGGAAAGGTATATTTGTCACATCATCTTTCAACCTCCAATTCAGGGCCATCAGACTTCAGACTTCAGTCATAGCCATGCTATGACTATTTTGGACCATATTCTTAAGACCCAAGACAAAACTGCAGATTATATTCAGGGTTGGTACTGACACTGGCAAAGCTCACACTCTTCCTTGCTTCTAGCGAGAACTGGCCCCCAGAGCAGTGATGCTAACCTTAGACTGCTCTCATGGGGTAAAATGGGGTATCTCAGTGCCTCAACTTAAATCGAATTTTTTCTTTTTTTCTTAGAATGTAAGAGTATTACAAAATCCATGGAAACTGTATCCTGGGAACAAAACATTTTGAGGAATGAGTTTAAAAAATTAGCCTTTTAAAAACTGCTGATCCCCTCTGGACAACAGTCAGGCAGGAACTAAGGAACTGTGGGCAATATACCTCTCGAAGTGTGCTGTCCCATGCAGCAGCCGTGGGCCACGTGCAGCCAGTTAAGTTTAAAGTGATTAAAAGGACATTTAAAATTCAGGTAGTAAGTTGCACTGGCTATACTTCAAGTGCTCAATGGTCAGTCGCACGTGGCTAGCAGCTACCGTACTGGGCAGGGCAAGCAGAGAATGTTTCTATCATCAGTGAAGCTTCTATCAGAAATGTGCTGAGCTAGAACTCTCCAGAACCCTAGAACTCTCAAGACCTATTTTAGGAATGAAACGCATTAGACACCATAGCCACAGGCCTCACATCTACACAAGCAGTGTAACGAGTGAGGTTTTAGGCAAATTAGGATTTAGCACCAGTTCCACTCGTTTTCTCTCTGTAAGAAGAGAAGCCTTCTGGGCAAATCTATTTAGACTATGCTAGTCAACAAGAGTATCAGAGATGTGCCCTACTCTGAACTCCCTGCCCTGACCTCTGGGAAACAGTATAATTTTAACAAGAGTACACATTTGCAAACAAACCTGGGTTCACGTATCAGCTGTAACTTACGATCTCAGTGACTCTGGGCAAACTAAACTTTCTCATTCCGTTTCCTCTTCTAAAGAAAAGGGAAATAATGTCCTTCTCCAAGGCTTGTGTGAAGAGTAACCGGGTGGATACAGGGAAAGCATTCAGCACAGTGCCTGGCTGAGCAAAGCAGCTAGTGAAGGACACCTTTGAGGAGGCTACCTGGCCTCTGAAGCACACGCTGGGCTCTGAATTGTGAGGCTGTTGTGTTCCCAAGCATTTTTCTCAGGGTTGGGCTTTTCTATCTTGCTTCCCATCAGGTGGATGGTCTCGGCAGGCACTGGAAGTGGTCTCTGGCCATTCCTCTGTAGACAGGTCTCGAGAGAACACTCTAAAAAGAGCTGGCAAAAGCCTAATGAATCTGAAAACCATTAAAAAACCACAAAATCACTAGGGTACTATTTTTCCAAAATGTGAAATCAACGTACTTAGACAAGTTATCCCACCTGCAGCAGGAAAGACCATTTGCAACACTGAACATGTAGCTTTGAAAATTAAGTAAATCCATATAAACCTCCTGATCCAATCAAGTTCTCACTAAAGACAGTAGTGATTTTGATATGCGAATAAATGTCTCTGAGTGTAAGAAAAAAAATGTGTTAATTACATTTCCGAGCCAGCTGATAGACTTCATATCTCATACTTTGATAATAAAAGTTGTCATCTAAAATCAAAAGCAGAGGTCTAGAAACAGCAGTCTTCGTTAAGAGATAGTGAGACTGGGCCTCAAGTGCTGAAGGAGATATCAGATCTTGATCCTTCAAACAGGTTAGAAAATCCTCCCACATGGCTTCAGTCCTCCTGGGTGGGGCAGACATCTGACACCCGTTAATGACGGCCAGAAAGAAGTATTCAAGGTACTGCAACAGTTCCTGGCGAAGCGATTTCCACTGGGATGGCTGCAAAATACCGTAGAATTGCAATTTATATTAGGCTTTGGCCAGTAGGGTGGTCATGCCTCAACAACCCCCTGCTCCATATGATAAATTTCTGAACCATTTGGAGTTCTCCAGACACAACTTGCTTTCTCATCCTCATGTCTTCGTATACGCTGTTCCCTCTGTCTGAAAAACTACTCAGTGATGTTAGTTCTCTGTGAACTCTTCTCAGACTCAACCAGGCAGAAGGCAGCTCAGATCACCCCTTGCCTATCATGACACCCTGTTCTGTGTATATTGGGTCTCCACTCTAACAGGGCTTACATTGTTTAGGTATCTCTATGTCCCTGCTAGATCAATAGTCTACTGTATACCCAGGCTTCAGCAGAGGGTCAGACACCTAACAGATGCTCCAGAAATGTATATGAAATGACTGAATGAATAAGTGACTAAATGAAAGAATGAAAAGCTGTTACCATCCAGGAGAAAGGAGGAACCAAAATCAATACCCTGGGACTTCCCTGGTGGCACAGTGGTTAAGAATCCACCCGCCAATGCAAGGGACACGTGTTCGATCCCTAGTCCAGGAAGATCCCACATGCTGCGGAGCAACTAAGTCCGTGCGCCATACTACTGAGCCTGCGCTCTAGGGCCCGTGAGCCACAACTACTGAAGCCCACGCGCCTAGAGCCCGTGCTCTGCAACAAGAGAAGCCACCGCAATAAGAAGTGCGAGAGCAATAAGAAGCTCTCGCACCGCAATGAAGAGTAGCCCCCGAATGCTCATTTGCATAAGAAAAGTTGTAGATAGAAAGAGGATCAGCTGAAAGGTCCCGGGTCCAGATGAAAAGACCTCAGGCTAACAACAGGATTGGAATGGGATAGGGAAAGATAGAGGAAGCAGACTGAGGAGAAGAGAATAAATAGCTTGAAAATATAAGTAGTCTTGCGCTGCTCAAAGGCTCTGGTGAACGCCGACACAGTTATGAGGTCAAGGCTGGAGGGAAAACACAAGGACAGGAGATCAGGATCCCTCTCCTGTCTGTCCATGCTCTACCACATCACAGATTATGGCACATAAAACCCACTCAAAAGGAAACAGAAACACGATCACTTCCTAAAAGGTGAGATATCCCGCTCGTGGTGACTGGATGAGCCCCATGGCCTTGCTCTGTAGGGGGAGAGTGGAAAAAATATAATAAGAAAAGTGAGGGAAAACCCCAGCAGATACAACAATCCCTATCAACAACTTCCAGCTTTCTCCATAGCGGTAAAAATACTATTACTTAAGTAAATCCGGTGCTACCAGGGGCCTGATACTGTATTTACCTCACAATTAACCAAGAATGAGGAAGTATATAACTTTGGTGGAGAAGTTCAAAATTCTTCCATGTGCCAAATGTACTGTATTTTTGCATATATACTTACAGAGTGGAATCACACCACATTTGAATTTTCTTTATGTGAATTCATCTACATTTGGCACTAAATGACAAAAATAACTTTAAAATTTTCAGAATATGTTAATCAAAGAGTATTTTCTCTAGAGTGAGCATGAGATGGGTGACGTGAATCTACTCTTCCCCGCCAAAGTCTCAGTTTTCACATGCTTCTCAAAGGGATACATCTCACAGCGCTGAGGGTGATCAGAGGGCTTAAAGAGAAGTGTGTACTGGGAACCCAAGCTGACCCCTAAATACAAACCTATTACTTCATCTGGTGGTCAACTAAGAAACAGCCATCTTTTCCCATTCTGGCAGAAGCAGGTTTACCCTCAGTTGAATGAAGATCGAGCTTCAGAGGCCAAGTCCTTCATTTGTACAGAATGTATTGTCACAGGAGGGGCCCTAGTAAGTACGCTGTCACTTATAATTTTGTACCCTTTTTCTTTAAAAGGGTTTCCCCAAACCGCATAACTTAAAGCCCCACAATACCTGGGTTCGCCTGGCTGAATGTTAAATTGGCTGTGCTGGAATTTTTGAGAGATTCTGTCCTTCTTTTCAGAACAACCTTCCCAAAGGATTTTCAGGAGGATATTTGATTATGGGGGACTTCCACCTTGCACGCTGACTTCACACCCTAACCTTAGGCTGGTGGCTGTTTGCATCGTTTTCTATTTCTAGACAACTCATTCTGTGTTAAACAAGCTCCCCTTTCCTCGAACTCTTGTCTCTCCTCTATAAGAGATCCACCTCCCACACCAGGTATTACCCAGTACAAGTATCGTGGAGTTTGTAGATTTCCCTCCGCCACAGCAGTCTAGGCCCCGCCCCCTCCGTACTGACCAATGGGCGAGCGCTCGCCTCCTCTAGGAACGCGTCTGGCATGACGTCATCATAGGCGACGACGCCCACGGCCCAGCTACTCTCCTGCCGTAGACGGTGGCTGAGGGCACGCGCGAAGGTCGACTTTCCTGCTGCGGGCAGTCCGCAGAGGACGCAGAGACCTAACTTCTTCGGCTTCTCGCTGCGCGCTCCTCTGGCGTCCTCGCCTGCCTTCATGCTGTCGCGAGAGACCCGAGGTGGCTGCGAGCGTTGTCTAAGGAAATGTCCGCCAACTGCGCATGCACAGTCTCCCACCGCCGTCTTGCGCCGCCTGTTGGCGCAATGGAGGAATGGGCGAGCCTTCGGCTCCAAACACCATGCATGGTCGCGGTTGTATCCGAGGTCGTCCCCTTGGTCGCCTGAACCCCTGGTACTGAGCTTTCTGTGAGGCGAGTCCTCTAGTCTGGTAAGTCCACGGGGATGCGTTTCGTAAAACCTGGACGTTTCCTAAAGGGTCATAAAGTTAGACAAACTTCAGTTAGAATCATCCTTCCTTCCGGAAACTTGCAAACCATTGGGATCTGCGCCTCGGGCTTTTGTTTGTTGGTTTTTACGATGAAGTCCCTTGCCTAGGAAAATCGCTGAAGGGACTTCGAGTCTTTTCCTCCAGCAGTCTTTGGAAGGTCAATTACTGGAAATCAAAAAATAGGAGTCGAATCTGGGTCCGACGACTGTGCTCCGCTGCCCCTCACAGATGTGATAGGTGGAAGGGCAAAGTAAATAGTAGTCATTGCATCCTAACGCCGCCAGTCGGCAGCAAGTGTGAAGAAATAAAGGCAGGAGAGGAACATCCCCAGACTTCAAGTCCAGTGCATTCATGCAGAGCACACTAGGTATTTTAGTGTTAAAAAAGAAATGCTGAGCTGTGAAGATGTATAAAACAAATTCCCTCTGTGGGGATGTGGTGTAGAAAAATTGAATTTATATTCTAGCTTTCACCTCATTTTGGGAGATTACTTCTTAGTCATAGGAAGTTATGTTTAAAATGTGAACGAGTGAAAATCAGTGTATGCTGGGACAAAATATAATCAATAACCCAATGCTAAATCTGATATATTTGTGATTACAGAGCATGTACACATACATTATCTCATTTTCTTTCTCTTGAAGGTGAGCATTGAATTAAACATACTTTTCATTTCATGACTTTTTATTGTCATAGGCCCAGTGCAAGATCCCTCTCCTTAATTTATTATTTTTCATCACTTATCCACACTCACACTCATTTCCTCCCCTTTTCCTAGGCAAGCTTTTCTTTCTCGTTTAAACATGGTTAGCGTTTGTTTACTTATTTTAAGATAGACTTTTTAAAGAGCAGTTTTAGGTTCATAGCAAAATTGAGCAGAAAGTATGGAGAGTTCACATATACCTCCCCCCGCCCCCAGTCTCTCTGGCTATCAACATCCAGTGTGGTACATTTGTTACACATACTATCGCCCAAGTCCACAGTTTACACAGGGTTTACTCTTGGTGTTACACATTCCATGAGTTTTGGCAAATGTATGATGATATGTATCCATTATTATAGTGTCATACAGAATAGGTTCACTGCCCTAAAAATCCTCTGTGCTCTACCTATTCATCTCTCCCTACCCCAGCAGCTGGTTATCTTTTTGCTGCCTGCATAGTTTTGCCTTTTCCAGAAGGTTGTATAGTTGGAATCATACAGCCTTTTCATATTTGCTGCTTTCACGTCTTTCATGGCTTGACTGCTTGTATCTTTTTAAGCACTGAATGATATTCCACTGTCTGGATGAATCACAGTTTATCCATTCTCCTACAAAGGTTACCTTGGTTGCTTCCAAGTTTTGGCAATTGTGAATAAAGCTACTATAAACATCTGTGTGCAGATTTTTGCATGGACGTAAATTTTCAACTTATGGTATCTGCATAAATACCAAGGAGCGTGATTACTGGATCTTGTGGTAAGAGTATGTTAGTTTTGTAAGAAAGTGACAGACTGTCTCCCAAAGTGGCTGTATCATTTTGCATTCCCACCGCAATGAATGAGAGTTCTTGTTGCTTCATATCTTTGTCAGCACTTGGTGTTGTCAGGGTTTAAAATATTCTAATAGGTGGGTAGTGTAACCAAACAGGACCCTATGGGGCCTTCCCAGAACAGACCGCCCCCCCCCCCACCATGTCCTCCGCCTGCCTCGTCTGTAGAAAAACTTTAGCCTCCTGGGCCTTCCCCAGGTTCCAAACAGTAAATTTAATCAGAGAAGTGAGAAAATGCAGAAAGAAAGGAAAACAGTCAAGCAAGACAAAATAATAATAGTTTAGTCATTAAACAATGTCAAGGACCTTTAGTTCCTCCTCAAGGACTATAGGTAATATTCTGAGTCACGTCCTTTGAGCTCTTTTGCAGACACTGAAACCCCCACCAGGTGGAAGAAGTTAACCCTATGCTGCTAACAAGCACGTATGCACGGGGGTCCTGGAATCAATCTCCAGCAGACACTGAGGGATGACTGTCTTCTCTGGTGAGGTTTTTGTTCAGATCTTTTACCCATTTGTAAACTGGGTTGTTCACTTTCTTACTGTTGAGCTGTAAGTGCTGTTTGTATCTTTCGGATAACAGTCCTTTATATGTCTTTTGCAAATATTTTCTCCCAGTCTGTGGCTTGTCTTCTTGTTCTCCGGACACTATCTTTGGCAGAGTGGAAGTTTTTCATTTTAATGAATTCCAGCTTACCAATTACTTCTTTCATGGATCGTGTCTTTAAAGTTGTATCTAAAATGTCATCACCAAACCTAGATCTTTTTCCTATGTTATCTTCTATAAGTTTCATAGTTTTGCATTTAGCATTTAGGTCTATGATTACATTTGAATTAATTTTTGTCAAAGATAAAACTCCTGTATCACATTTTTTTTTTTACATGTGGTTATGTTTGTTCCACTTCCATTTTGTTGAAGACTTTTCTTCCTCCATTGCATTGTCTTTGCTTCTTTGTCAAAGATCAGTTGACTATACTTGTGTGAGTCTATTTCTGGGCTCTGTATTCTGCCCACTGATCTGTCTCTTCTTTTTGCCAATACCACACTGTCTTGATTACTGTGGCAGTAAAGCTGGGTAGTGTCAGTCCTCTGACTTTGTTCTTCTCCTTCAGTACTGTGTTGGCTATTCTGGGTCTTTTGCCTCTCCATGTAAACTTTAGAATAATCTTGTTGCTATCCACAAAAGAACTTACTGGACTTTTGACTGAGATTGTGTTGAATCTATAGATCAAACTGGGAAGAACTGACCTCTTGACAATATTAAGGCTTTCTATCCATGAACATGGAATATCTCCTTTCATTTAATCCTTCTTTGATTTCTGTCATCAGAGTTTTGCAGTTTTCCTCACATAGACCTTGCACAAATGTTGTTAGGTTTATACCAAGTATTTCATTTTTAGGGTGTAATGTAAATCATATTGTTTTAAATTTGAAATTCCACTTGTTCGTTGCTAGTGTTATGAAAGCAGTTGACTTCTTTTTTTTTTTTTTTTTTTTAAGGTAGACCTTAACAAATTTAATATAGTGATAATCATATAAAATAAGCTGTTTTTTCGACCATGATGGGAATTTAGCTAGAAATCAGTAAGCAGTTGACTTCTGTATGTTAATCTTGTGTCCTGCAACCTTTCCATAATCACTTATTAGTTCCAGAAGTTTTTGGTTGATTCTTTGGGATTTTCTACATAGACAGTCAGGTCATCAAAGACAGTTTTCCTTCTTCATTCTCAATCTGTATACTTTTCATTTCCTTTTTCTTATTACATTAGCTAGAGCTTCCAGTATGACGTTGAATAGGAGTGGTGAGACATTCTTGCTTCGTTCCTGATCTTTGTGGGAAAGCATCTAGTTTCTCACCATTAAGTATGATGTTAGCTGTAGGTTTTATTGTAGATGTTCTTTTTTTAAAATTTTATTTATTTTTGGCTGCATTGGGTCTTCGTTGCTGCACATGGGCTTTCTTTAGTTACAGCGAGTGGGGGCTACTCCTCGTTGCAGTGCACAGGCTTCTCACTGGGGTGGCTTCTCTTGTTGCAGAGCACAGGCTCTAGGCGCGCGGGCTTCAGCAGTTCTGGCACGTGGGCTCAGTAGTTGTGGCCCACAGGCTTAGTTGCTCTGTGGAACGTGGGATCCTCCTGGACCAGGGCTCGAACCCACATGCCCTGCATTGGCAGGTGGATTCTTAACCACTGCTCCACCAGGGAAGTCCCTGTAGATGTTCTTTAGCAAGTTGTAGTTCCCCTCTATTCCTAGTTTGCTGAGAGTTTTTTTTTTTATCATGATGAAAATGTTGGATTTTGTCAAATGCTTTTTCTGCATCTATTGATATGATTGTGACTTTTCTTCTTTAACCTGTTGATATATTACATTAATCAATTTTCAAATGTTGAGCCAGCTTTGCATGTCTAGAATAAACCCCACTTGGTCATGGTGTCTAATCCTTTCTATACATCGCTGGATTTAATTTGCTAATATTTGGTTGAGGATTTTTGCATACGCATTCATGAGAGATACTGTTCGTTGGTGTTCTTTTCTTGTAATATCTTGTAATGTCTGGTTTTGGTATTAGGGTAATGCTGGTCTCGTAGAATGAGTTAGGAAGTATTCCCTCTGTTTCTATCTTCTCAGAGATTGAAAAGAACCAATATAATTTCCTCTTCGAATGTTTGGTAGAATTCACCAGTTATTTTGGACCAGTTATCTTTTTTAACAACCTGTTTTGGAACAAAATGATTTTTTAAAATTTTTATAAAAATTGTTTTATATTTCAGAACATCAAAACGAACTATTATGACTTCAAGTTTAGGTGTCCACTATCTAAAAATTTCAGGGACAGGTTAAAAAATAAGCATGTGATGTTGGCATACAGCCATAATTAGAGTACAACCCTGAATTTGTAAAGCTTTCTTCACAGACCTCACTCCCACCTGAGACCCAGAAAAGGACAATCATGTGATGAGATACTTACTGAATATGTGGTCTCTTAAATTAGCAGGGTGCCAACATGGTAACACTGCATTTAGGACCAGAGACAGAATATTTGAGAGTCCGGGTGGGTGAACTTTTGGGTCAAATAATGGGGCCCAGACCACTTGGGTATGTGAACTATGTCCTGCTTCACACACTCCCTTCTTCCCTCAGCCCCAGGGCTGACCACTTTGCCCTTGGGAAGGGAGCTAC